GATTATTGCTTTGTTTTACTAGCTAAGACTCATGCAAAATGCAAGGCATTTATCACAGTATTTTCAACTGGTTTACCAATTTATCGTCAGTACACAACAGTTATTGGCAATTTTCGAAATGGCAACGACTATCCGATGTACCGAAATAATAAATTTAGTTTAATGCCAGCTGCCCGTCTTGATTTAAATCAAGTGAATCATGGTGAGAGAAAATAGAGGATTCTGTCTCAAATAGAACATTTCACTTTGCTGATTCAACGGATTCTGTAAAGCATTCAAATGCAATTTGATGTTGCCGAAAAACGTTGCAAATGGGGCGGAAGGAAAATTGCTATTTCGAAGTCCAAACTGGAAAATTTCGCCAAAACTCGGGATTTGCAGCCCTAATAGAGCAAGGATTTCTCTATTGAATGGCTTGAAAACGCGCATTTTTGGCGCAAACTTACTGAACGACGTGGCGAAATAATGAAATTTCAATCATTAAACTTGAAAAATTTGCGGAAAATTCGCACCGAAAATTGCAGAACCCGTAGAGCACGATTCTGCTATTAAACGACTTAAATAAACATCAGCTTCGTAACACATTTAGATGGAATTTAGTTTGAACCTTCCAATTAGAAATATTTGTGAAAAATCCAGAAAGTATTCGAGTAACTCGACTTTGCCAGACGAGTAAACATGCCGAATGAGTAGGAAGAAAACATCTTCAAATTTTCCGAATTCGTGAAAAAACCGCAAAATTTGCGAGGAAGTTGGCATTTTCTAGTTTAAAAAAGCGAAGTTTACTCTATAAAATGGGGCATCGGCTAAACTGAGCCTTCAGCTTGAATGGTTGAGAATTTTCCTTCTAACATTTCCCCGTCCTGATTTACTTGTGTGTTACCACTTGGGCTCAGCTTAAATTGAACTCATCAGAATCAATGCGTCCATTAACCTCTGTTATAATATTTCTAATGGAAACATAAAAATAGATCGTTGTATAAACATGTTTCAGCTCTCAAATGAAATTAATGCCTCTCGAGCAGTTTAACGATTATTAATTTATAATTAGCGCGACTATTATTATATACCTTCAATCGATTGGTTTGGCATTAATATAACTTCTCATTGCGCGATTGTACCAGCTGGAAAATTTGTACTTTCTGAAGCGCGGTTCTGAAGAACTGGAGGGCAAAACATCAGAAAAATGGGGCAAAATCGGAGAAAAATGCTTCCATAAATCTCAAGAAAAAATGCATAGTAAAATAGATCTGGATGGTTTCATGGCGTCCATCTATACATAACACTCATATGCATAAACATAGAGGAACGCGCGTGTGAGTTTGACTATTTTTACTACAGAAATGTTATTTTTAATCGTCTCCATATATATTTGTTTAAGGGAATAAGTGGAAGTTGGCTATTTCCTGCCCGGTTTGGGAAGGCATTTTCCACCAAGTTTAGCTAGACTGGATACTGACGATTGAAAGTTTTCATGATTTTTTAGTCAGAAAAATAACCAATAGGTTTGAAACAACGTGCGGAGATTCGAAAATGCACAGAATGTTGATTTCACGCAATAAACATGAAAAGTTGTGCGCCAAATCGTTTATTTCGGTGATTCGGACGTAACAACTATGACGCCCAATTTTCATCCACTTATTTATAAATCGAAAACGTATCTTGGGACTGAAAGGTAAAGGTGAACTTAGCTGAAAATAGCCTTCGAGCATGTTAATGACTTTGATCAAAACGAAGCGAAATCTGCGATTTTTGTAAATATTTCAACATTGCCTTTGTCTTTCCTCATCGTTGCTGACGCCAACATTCTTTAATAAATCATATCGTCCACGCCTGAAAAAATATTTGTTCCTTTATAAATCACCTGATCTCGTTTGTCGTGGATTGATTGTTTTGCTGAAAATCTGGAATTATTAATGGAGGCCTAAACGGTCCCCACTCGAAACATATTTTTGTCAATTAAGCGACAAAAACTTCCCGTTGCAAACCCTCAATACATACAGAAAAAGCCTTAAGGCAAACTTTTCAGGTAAACCAGCTATTTGCCCTGGAGTTTTCCAAGATTAATTGGCCCAGAAAACGGTACAATAGAAAACAAGCAAGCAACTGTTACTAATTAGAACGTTGCAATTTTTGAAAGTGATCCAAAAAGCCGTGTTGGCATCGCAAGCGAGATTCGCTAATAGCAAAGCATGCAAAAATCAAGAAGCTTTCTGAAAAAAGAAACAACGAAACTGATTTGAACGATGCGAACCCACGAAAATACGAACAAAGAACGCAAAACAATTGGCTCTAAGAGAGCATYAAAGAGAYCTGGATTTGAAACTCTTGTCCTGATGGGTGTTGCCTTGACCGTGTCCTTTCTGGAAAAATGGGGAAAAACGTCGAAAATCCTCAAATTTAAGCCCRAAATCGGCATCYTACTCCCTCTGATTGCCATGTAAGAGTAGCCAGTTACTCATCGAAACTCCTCAACTGTTTCCTTACATAAACATGAACATTCTTGACAATATCAAAAGACTTAGGCTTACGAGGCCGCTCCTTGAAACTAGTGGGTTTCTCGGGTTTTTAGGCCGTCGTA